GGCATAAACAAACAATACTGATTGTTTACTTGGCTTGATTTTTCCCAAATTCTATAGCTGAAATGACCTAGGCTTGTTTGGATGGGTAGATGTGCAACCCTTTGATTCAGCCCACGCACTTTGTACTAGTGCGCAAATAAAAGGCTCTGCAGATGCACCAAATTCATGGCAATACAAAGGAGAAATATGAGCCCCATTATAGGATACCTCGATGGCGCCGACATTGGCGTCATTGTGGCTTATTTTGTTGCTGTGTTTGCTGTCGGTATTTGGGTATGTTCGTCGATAATTTAAACCCTAATCCATGCCACAATGTGTTTAGTCTTCATTTAGGAATCGTGGCTCTGTTGGCGGTTACTTCTTGGCTGGCCGGTCCATGAGCTGGATTCCAGTTGGTGCCTCCTTGTTTGCCAGTAACATCGGTTCTGGTCATTTCATCGGTCTCGCGGGTTCGGGAGCTTCTTCTGGAGTTGCTATAGCTGTGTTTGAGTACAATGCCGCTTTCACGTTGGGCTTTTTGGGTTGGCTCTTCTTGCCTGTCTACGTTGTTTCTGGGGTATGTCATCTTATAGTCGTCAAGACTTGGCATTAGATTCTGACTATGCCTGAGTATCTGCGGCATCGTTTTGGTGGCCAACGTATTCGTGTCTACCTGGCTGTTATTGCTCTGCTGCTCTATATCTTTACGAAGATTTCTGCTGATCTGTATGCCGGTGCTGTGTTCATCCAACAGGCTATGGAGATTTCCATCTACCCTGCTGCCATCATCCTTCTGGTCGTGGCTGCCCTCTTCACAATTATGGGTAGGTCTTGTCCCAACTTTTGCCTCTTTTTTGTTTAAAGTTAGATTTTGACTCTATGTTGGTCTTTTAGGTGGTTTGACGGCTGTCATTTGGACAGATTTTGCTCAAGTGCTAATCATGATTGCTGGTGCTTTGTACCTCTCCATTCGAAGTAAGCCTTACCCCTAGACTAGGACAGTCACTTATGGGTGCGTGGATGACATTATTTTGCTTCATTTGCTGTACTTAGGTTTCCAGGTGACTGGTGGGTTTGACAATTTGGTTGTGAACTATTTCAATGCCATTCCAAACACAACAAGGGCCTACAGAAGTACCACGTTCTCTGCTGCGAACTCTGCTCAGGGTTATTCACCTGACCTCTACGGCACCGAATCAGACCGAAATATAATTCTCCTGGCTGCAAATCCACCGGATCAATCTCGTGGTGTCTTTGCTGAGTGCAGTATTCCTCCATCGGACGCACTGCAATTTTTCAAGTCCATTAACAGTACTGATTTGCCATGGGTTGGCGCCATATTCGGTCTGACTATCAATGCCACTTGGTATTGGTGTACTGATCAAGTCATTGTCCAACGTTGTCTCGCTGCCAAGAACATGATTCACGCCAAAGCCGGTATTGTCCTTGCTATGTTTATCAAGATGTTGCCTCTCTGGCTCATGGTTATTCCTGGAATGGCCGCTCGAATCCTCTTCGCTGGTGAGCTTTAGCCAACCCGTCTTGTTTTGCACTTGTATCTGAGCTTCTTTCCCAACTACCTGTCCGTGTTTTTAGATACCGTGGCGTGTGGAGACGCTAACCTCTGCCAAAAGATTTGTAGTAAGGTTGCTGGATGCACAGATATCGCCTATCCATCGTTGGTGTTGAATTTGTTGCCTTCTGGTGCTCGAGGTCTCATGCTTTCTGTCATGATGGCCTCATTGGTCTCCAGTTTGACGTCTATTTTTAATTCCTCCTCCACCATATTCACAGTGGATATTTGGCGACTTATTCGTCCTCATTGCAAAGATGCCGAGCTTATGATTGTTGGACGGTGAGTTTGTAGAAGGCGTTTTCTCTGGTGTGTTGGTGATGGAAGAGAATTAACAGGCCATGGTTGTCGCCTTTGCAGTGCGGTGGTTCTGATCCTAGTCGGTATCAGCTTGGCTTGGATCCCGATTGTTCAGCTGAGTGGTGAGCTATTCAACTACATCCAGTCGGTCACGGGTTATCTGGCGCCTCCTATTTGTGCTACCTACGTCTTCGCCATCTTTTGGCATCGCACCAATGAGATTGTGAGTTCCTCAAGACTCTTTCTTCCTCTTTACCCCTTACACCTTCCCCTGACTGCTGGCTCTTCTTTTCGAAAATGGGTATTGTTTAGGGTGTGTTCTGCGCTCTGATCGTTGGTCTCATAATTGGTGCGACTCGATTTGCTTGGGAGATCGCCTACGGTGCCACTCCATGTGGTGAAGTGATCACAAATCCACCCCATTTCCTTGTCACCATGCATTATTTGCACTTCTCCATCCTCCTCTTCTTCATCTCCTCGGTGGTCATCGTGGTGGCCACCTTGGTTACACCTCCACTTCCACCACGCTTCGTAAGTTCTTAATGCCTTCTCAAGCAGATGTCAATGGCGATCGGACTGCAGGTGCAGGCGTTGCTTATTTGTAGACTCGACGACTCATCTTCGCCGATCGTCATGCTCCCTTCGATCCCGACTTGGATGCTCCGAAGGTGACAATCGTGAGTGAGGAAGAGAAGGCGGAGTGGTTGGCTGAAGGTGAGGAGTTGCAGCCGTATCTACACTGGTATAGGAAGGCGATCAATTGGATGTGTGGTGTTGAGTCAATGCAAGATCAGCGTGAACCTGTGTTCACGGAAGAGGAGGCAGAGGAGTTGATTGAAATGAAGAAGCGCGAGACGAGTATTGAGGAGGATCCGAAGCAAAGGCTCATTGTCAACACGGCTGTCTGTACTGCCATCGTTGTTACTATCTTCATTTGGGCGTTCTTTGCTTAGGAGGTCAAACCACAGATGAAGAGGGAGTGGTAGCCTCGAACTTGAAAACACGTTGTCCATTTTGTGCCCCCACTGACTTACAAATAAACGCTTCCTTGTTATGCCCTTTAATGGTTGCGCAAATCTATGAGTGGGTAGGGAGGGAGGTGGGCTGCGTGGTTAGGTGGGGTGAGGTGGGGTGGGTGGTGGGTGTGGAGCTGGTGTCTACCACGCGGTCCAATGGAGGCTTTGGCATGGTGGAGGTGTCTAGCACATATGGGAAGGGGCAACCTACTTGGATTTTCACAGGTGCTGGAGTAACCACCGAGACTACGTGCTTTGTTACTGTCGAGGGTTTGGCTACAAGGCCTAACACACTACGAAATTCATCACGATAAAGTGGGAAAAGGGAAAGTTTCGTAAAATAAAATGAATTTTACAAACGGTTTGTGGCATCGTTCCAGGGCCTTGTCGTTCTACCTTGATGACAAGCATTTGACGGATGTAATACACTTTAATTCTTGACCAATTAAGGGTCGTTTGTCGTCTTTCATTGCAGAAGAAGCAGAGCTGTGCCGTCCGGCACCGCGCATACAAGGACATGGTGGAGACGAGGGGTGGTAGATCTACTGGCCAGTCAATTGCCTTGATGGCACAAAGTACGTGAAAATCACTCCACCACATGGACAACTCAAAGATGTGTTTGCTGAAGTTCAATTTCATGTGGCGCACAACATGCAGTTTCCATTCTGAAGCCGTCACACACCGGTGGATCGTCGTAGAACTTGCCTGGCTACTTACCATTGGGTCTGTGTTGACGCGGTCAGGGGAGCGGGCAGATGGGCGGAAGATATGAAATGGACTGCGATTGCACTCTTACCGTTATGTATGAACCACTGCGAGAGGAGAACACCGCCTTTTGCCTT